ACACAATAATACGAATAACCTCCTAATACACATAGAGATCTTTGCCCTCTTAATCTTAGCTGGAATTCAGGAACAGCTTAGGAATGTTCTTTGATTTGTACAACACGTCACTGCTGAGTAAGAGGGTGTGAGGCCTTGTTTGTTGAGCTAAGCATGGCTGCTTTTTCCTGCATAATGGAAATAATACAGCTTCTAATATTGCTGCACTTACTACTCCAACCTGGTTTATATCTCTTGTTACCGCAGAGGAAGGGAGAAAAAGAAGATTCCTGCTGAGCACCCACATCAACTGATATTGATAAAAGACTGCATGAATATAAAATTACTGACACATGATGCTAAATGCCTCAGTTGCTAAAATGTCTGGCTTTCTTCACAACCCAAGGTTTGCAGTATAGGTAATTTTAAGAACACCAAGGTTTGACCTCTAAACAAAACCAGGAAAAACTAGATTTCAGACTTTAATTACTGTACAAACTTAACCACTTTTCTTCTGACTGTTTTTGAGAAGCAAGCATTTTAATGTCTTATATTTCAGTATTTTTTATACTGAGTGAAGCTGGTATTTATAAGAGTTTGCAAAGGTCCTATTACTGGTCTGAGCTGGTACACAAACTTCACAGTTAGCAATCTCATCTTTACCATTTTCTTTACTGTGATTACAGAGGTCAGTGGCCTTCCCTTGCCTTGTCAACTTACCCATGCTGTAAAGTACTGTCAGCTTACACAGTGCCTCAGATAACATTGGCTTTTCAAATTGAGAAGTAGACACCAGGGGAAACTCCTTGGTACAGTTGGATAATTTGCAGTGTAACAGAGATATGACATTTTACCCTCTGAAACAATATGGTCCCCTCTACTGAAATATATGCTTTGAGTTTTTCTGTGGCACAGTCTCTTACATTTTCTTATGTTGTTTGATTTTTTTTTAATGCATGTAAAAAACCAGGATTTTTTGTTCAAATAGGTGCTACTTCATTACCTCTGTTTTCCTGATTACAGAACTCAGCTTTGAGGGAGGGATCTACTGGAGCGTTGCTCCTGGCTACTCATTAATAGCTTTGAGAGAAAAGTTTCTTACTTTCTGCTGAGGCCTAATAAGCATTTCTCAGATAATTTCTCCCACCTGGGAGAGGGACGATACACCACCACAATCATGCATGTCTAGCTCATTATATACTTTTGTGGTGTTTATTAAATTATGTCAAGTTTAGACTTGCTTCAAAACATTTAAGATAAGATGGAGTCAAAGGGAAGACATCTTACTATCTCTATGAGTCTTGCTCTTCTGCTGTTTGCAGTGTGAAAATGAACCACAGAAATCCAGCATCAGTGTTGATCTCTTGGAAAGTCTTCTCCAGTCTGCTCTGCTCTTGGGGCTCCAAACTGCATCACTAAAATCAGTGCAAGGAAAGAGCTTGAGGCTTTTTGTTGTTTGGATTTTGTGTGCTGTGTGATGCAGGGGGAATTTACAGGCTGACAAAAAGCATGTGCAATTGCAGAAGTGAACACATTCTCTCAGTTATAAGCAAGAATGAGTATTTAGTGCTAGTTAAGACTTTGATCCTGAAATAGAAGGGCTGTATAGAGAATTACCTCTGTTGCTTTTTCTTGCATAACTTTTAATTCACAGGCTTTGAGATAATTTGGGGAACTGGATTTCTAGCAAACAACTGCTCAGACTCATGCAAATGCTGTAATTTCATTCTTTCCATGCTTAAGGAGAAAATGTGCTCTACTTAAGCAGTTTATAGTGAGTAAATGATAGGCTTGTGGGATACAAAAGGCTCACACAAACTTTTCTTGGAAGGACTAAATATTATGAGTAGATTTGATTTCCCCTTAGCTTATTTTCTGTTCTAGCATTCTTAGGTTAATAGTCTTTCTGGTTTTCTCCTATGGGAAATGATAGAAATACTCATGATAATGCGCACTTAGTGGATAAGTATCTCTGCTGTCTTTATGAAATTATCAAAGGCATGATGGGCTCTCTCCCTTTCTCTTGCACCTTGATTTTGTTGTGGTAGTATTTTACATGTTAAGAAGTTTCAAGTTAATAGGGCATCTTCCAAACTAGAGCCCGTATTTGTAGGTGTAATAAAACATAACCATTGGACTCACGATTTCACTTAGAGTATTTCTACTTTTAAAATTCTAATTCAGTGTTTATGAAAAAGTCTGAAATAAACCTGTTAATCTTCCTGTAATAAACTGAATTAATGTTTTAGCCATCCAAAATTTCAACTGTGAGCTTTCCTGGTGGTCATGTTCAGGGTAAAAGTTCTCCTTGTGTTTGTGTCCCTGACTAAAATGTTTATATCTAACACCAGATACTAGCACAGGCTTCAGAAGTTACCTTGATGTTTGAAATTACTTGTTTCCAGAGGAATTTAATGTGCACTCAAACATGCTGTGTTTGCACTCTCTGTAGTCTGAAGTGTACATAGCTATCCCTGCTCAATTAACCGTGAAGGAGGCTAAGGGTTTGAACTTTGCAGTAAGGAAGGGCCATTAGCAAATTGCATTGTTAGCTTGCTCATGCTAAAGTATATTAAAAAATCTGATCATTAAGGATTACACACAGAGAACTTTCTCAAAATGACAGACAAAAAAAAATACAGGTTTGGGTTTGCTGGTTGTTATTTTTTTTTTTATGTTAGACATCTGGCACTTTGAGATGACATCATCTCTTTCACAAGTGTTGTCTGGATAAGCAGTAAATGGTTGACTTCATTTATATTGTGATCTGGTTGTTCTGTGATGAATAGAAACTAAAGCTACTGAAAAAACATTTAGTTTGCTTTCTTGCTTTGAAATACCAAACAATAAGGCTGACTCACAGAAAAAAGTCTTGCACTACAGCTGAGTTCCCTGGATTTTTACAAGAAAATTTTCAGAGTGGCTACAAGTGGGTCTTTTGCCACATTGTATTTTCTGTTGTCTTCACACATGCAACTCATCCCATCTGTATTTCATTCAGTAAATACTCTCTGCAGGATTTTGATACCTAGAAACTTAAAAATTATCAAAGCTGCATGTGTTCTCTACCGTGTTTAGAACAAAAAAAAAAGATTTTTTTTTCTCTTCTGTTTGATCTTTCTTAAAAATGTGCTGAAGCTGGAGACAATAGAATGCAAAAAATGCTGTCGGATTAGTTAGGGGCTAGTTGAACAGTTGAAACTGTTTTGCTTTCTGGCATTGGTGTTTGTATTTTTCCCTTAATAGATCCAGCAGATAAAATGGCCTGTGATAGGTATCTGAAGGACTGCATTCACAAATTGTGATTTTGTGGTTACTTGAATGAATAGAAAGTAGTGTAAATTTTTTTCCTATATTAAATTTATTTATAATTTACTGTATAGGTGTAAATCCTCATCATTCTCTGAAAGTATGTGAGGTGCTAAAGCAGAAAGTGCAGTGAGCTCCATTGCCCTGACATCTCTTAAGTGTCTTCCTTTAGTTCCCTGCTTCCCAGGTCTTCCTACCACCTTGAATTAGGCCATGACATAGCAACATCAGTAGGCAAACTACACATCTTTCTTCTTGGCACTGTGATCTGTGTGCCTCTAATGTGAGAAAACCCCATCATTTCCAGCCTAACCTGTTGGAATTCCCCCTGTCAGAGCCCAGACAGAAGATACCTCTGTGTGCAGAGATTCTGAGGCCAGAAGCTGTTCTGACCATCCCATCTGACCTCATGAATGTAGCTGCCTGGTTTATAATTGCTGGAATTGGCACAGCTCAATTTACAGCTCTCCTGCATCGAGCTCAAGCGCCCAGAGTTGTCTGTGGGCAAACCTGCCGTGAGCTGTGGCCTCAGGCTGGCTCTGGAGCCAGAGCAGACCTGTGTCTCTCTGCAGTGCTGGCTTTGCACCCACGGGCAGCAGCCTCTTCCAGGGGTCACAGAGGTGCTTGTTGGCCACCCACAAACTGTGGCATTGCCCCAAGCTCTCTTGCTTCTGCCCAAGCAGCTCTGCCAGCTTCTCATAATGGCTGAGCTACATATTCGGGTTGTTATACAGTGCCTTGTGGTTCATGGGTTCCTGTGTACTTCATAATAACACCTTATATTTTCTCTTGTTTAGATAAGTGGTAAAAGGCAGTCACTTGGAAAAATGTCAACATGCTGTAGCACTTCCTTTGTCAAGGCACATCTTCTTTTTCTTCCTTTTTAGAGTTTACATTTACATCGAGTACAACTTCTGTAACATGAGCTACAAACAATATTAGGGAAATGTCTGCTTCATGTTTATACTGTGATAATTTTCTCAAGAAACTGACTGAACTTTATTAGGGGATAATCTGATGTACTATGAAGTAGTAGTTGAATGTAAAATTCCCAGTACTTTCCTGCTTTCCCTGATATGGGGTTGATAATTCTTAGACAATAAAAACCTGATCCTTCTTGATCAGACAAAATTTCTATTTATAATCCTTCAGTCTTTTAGTCATTCCTTAAGTACTTCTCAGAAAATTTTGTTTTAAAACTATTGTTATCAGTTTTCACTCAGAATGACTGCTTTGTTACTGAATTCCAGAACATGTACTAAAAATTAACCTGTTTTAAGCAAGGGATTTCATAGATAAATCAATTATGTACAATATAAATGTGGTTATTGTATAATATTGCATTTTATATATACAGTATTTATATATAATGGGTGTTGTATGTAAAAAAGATTATATTAGCATAACAAAATAAACAGTTCAGTATTTTGCTTTATGTAATAGTATTACATTGTCCCCAGAAATTAAGAGACTGAGAACTGTCTAACTGAATTTTAAAGAAAACTGAATTTTGTATTTCATATTGAAGATACTGAGAGTGCATAAGGATAAGGCATGAAAGAATATTAATACAGTACCTGAATAATCTTCGTATTCATGTATGCAGATACCAGACAATAAATTCTCCAGCAACGCAGAGTGATTTTCTGCAATTTTTTAAACATTCTTATGGATTAGATGTAACTGTAATTTTTACATTAACTGTGTTTCAGATATCTGATATCCATGTTACTGGGGAGTCAGAGGACATGTCTGCTAAAGAGAGACTGCTCCTGTGGTCGCAGCAAACAACAGAGGGTTATGCTGGAATACGTTGTGAAAACTTTACCACCTGCTGGCGCGATGGAAGGTTATTTAATGCCATCATTCATAAATACAGGCAAGTACTCTGTTTGCTCCCTTGGAAAATGTTAATTACAGCATTTTAATGTACAAAAAGAGAGGGCTCTATGATTTCTGTTGTGATTGAACTGCAGCTGTAGAGATGACACTGACTCTTCCTTGGTGATTTCTTGCTCTTTGCAGCCAAAGGATGCCTCCTTAACCTTTGCATTTCCGTCCTTCCTCAGAGAAGTATTTCCAGGAATCCTGTACATCTTTCATGGGGCATGTTCAAGCTGCTAGGAAGTATGTTTGCATACTTCAGAATTCAGTCTTCTCCACAGTCCTGTTTTGTCAAACTGATATTTAACTGTAGACAGGGTAGAGGCAGCACTGATCACCAAAGTCCAAAACAGTGCTGCTGGTGAAAGCCATCAACTACTGTATGACCTGGGATATGTCTGAGATCCATGTCTTCTTTCTTCTGTGTCTTTACCCTTGGATGGCCCTGGAGTGTAGAGCTTCTTCAGTGTTTGTGTGTGTATATTTCCTGTAAAAGGATATTCTCATCAAAAATGTGACCAGCTGGCTTGAATGATCTCAGTCTGAGAAAGGATTTGTGCTTTTGTAACCTCACTCTGACAAAATTAAGCAGACATTGTAGAGTTACTGGTGCCTGTGACTAGAGACTAAAGGGTTCAAGATGGTACCTTGAAGTACAGCTGAAGAAGTCTATTGACAGGAGAGGATTTCTAATTCTGGATTCTAAATGAAAACAGGTCTCTCTTGACAAAGCTGACTTTGGCATCAAGCTTGTCAGAGATTTAATCATGGATGAGTTCTCTCTTGGTTGGTGGCACGTCTTCTTTATTGTGTATTTTTTTGGTTCCTGAATTGACTAAGAAGGTTTGGGTCTTAGAGGACCACGTGGGAGAGTATCCTGCCTGCTGGGATAATCAGTGTGTACTGACTTGAACTTCACTGCACGAGGCTTTCTGGGTTTATCATAGCACGTGTAGTTTGTACTCTGCGCCCTGAAGCATATCATAAGGAAGTTTAAGGGTACGTGATTTCATTGGCATAATTTGAAGGAGTGTCCCCAGTAAAGACAAAAGTGTTTTTTCATGCACATCCAGTGAAAAGAGCCTGGAGCAGATTATTTTGTTCTTGGAGTTCCTCTTGTGGGACCCAAGAAGGCCCACCACAGAAGGAAGTCTAGGTAGACACAATGTACATGTGATCCTTATGGGGGACTAGGACACTAAAGTAAAATGGGAGACAGATGCAGCCTTTTCCTCACAGGCTGTGTATAAAGGCTGTAAACATCACACACAGTTCTCAAAGTCCCAGAGAAGTTGGCTGTAGCAATGCATAATTTCATGGTGAAACGAAGCTGCATTTCAGTCAATGAAGTTGTTTTCTGACTATGCTTCTGTTCTGGGTAGCTGGTCAGGGAGGAGGTGCATGCCAGCAAGAAAGTTTCTTTTAGTAACATTGGCACGACAAAAGGAAATAGCTGGCAGAAGACAAGGCTGTTTTACTTGGGACAGAGCAGCCAAAGGAACGAACATAACGCAGGCAAGTATTTAAAAAAATAAACAATATGAAAGATACAGAGGGATTGGAGAGAGAAAAGGAAAGGGACTTGATGAGATGGAATAATGGAAAATATTTCCCGGAGCTTCTTCCGATCCTTGTATCTCTTGCATAGAGCAATGTAGCATTTACTGCTCAAGCAACTGGTAATTATGGTACAGATCTGGTAAATAGTTAGACACTCGAATCCTGTCCCCCCGCTGTGCAAATGTTAGTACCTTGGGATATGACTGAATTGCTTTGTTGGAACAGTGTTTCTGGCGTTACTCTGAGTTTCATTCACAGTGTTTCAGCAGGGAAGAACAGGCAGCTTTGACTTGAGTGTGTTGCACAAAGCAAGTGATTCAGTGGTTGGGGAGCAGAGGTCCCATTTTGTGTGCTTCTGTGACAGTTTCCATTGATCTTAATTTCCTTAATTTCTTTCTGTAAACATAACTTCACCTAAGGATTGTGTCCTTCCCAGGAATGTTTACCAACCTTATCTAATGTTTTTGCTGTGAGAAGTTACAGTTCTTGAATTCAAATTCAAATGGAATGAGAGAGAGATTCTTCCACTGATTTCAGTGAGTTTCTCTGTGTCTTTCCTTTTTTGTTTTGTACCATTAAAACAGAGATAATAATTTCCAGCTATTGCTCACAAGAGAGGAATGATCTTCCCTAACAGTCATCTGTTATTTTTAACTATATTGTTTTACTCCAGAGACCTCTTTTAAAGCTTGGTTTGTCTTCTGAGCAATAAGTAGGTTGAACACTGAAAAATCTGAAAAGTTCTGGAGGTGATTCTCCATTTGCTCTGTTTGTCTGTTTTAGTAGCTCCCAATTTGTAGATCACAGGTGGTGTCAGGAGCTGGTCTGAGCATCCTGTGGGTGCTTCCAGCTGGTGTGCTCCACCAGATGTGCCTGCTTGGGTGGTGGGGTGGGACTGCCACTGTGGAGTACCCCCATGGGGGCACATCTGTCAGTCCTGTTGCAGTGTGGCAGCCCCCTGCACCAGGTGTTCTTACTTCTCTGTAAGAAGCACCCTGGGCTGGGAGGAGCCAGCCTCCCTGCAATTTGCAGAGGATTTGCACCTCTGCAAATGGGGGACGGGCTCTTCAGGTGGGACCTGACTTCCAGTTGTAGAAGGGATTTAATTCAACCCAGAAGGCTCAGATACCCAGGCTGGCATCTAGAATTGCAGTTGTGCTGAGCCACAGTAAGCTAGGTGTTGGATGGAGAGCACGTGCTTAGCCATGCCAGGGCACAGCAGCAGGAGCTCCCTAAAGAAGCCCATCAGGGCAGGGCCTGGCAGCCCAGACCCGTTCCACTGCCCCAGTCAGGGGAGCAGGGCAGCCCCAGCCATCACACTGGGACCTCCCTGGAGGTGTGCTGGGGCTCCCCTGCCATCTGTGTTGTCTGCAGGTTGGCTGCACCACTGCAGGGACCATAGCTCAGCTGTGGGCCAGAGCACCAGCAGTTCCCAGAGGATAGCCCTGGCCCACAGCCCTGGCACCAAGGCTGAGAGGCCTTCTCTGGATGCACCACTGAGAGCACAAGCCATGAGTCCAACATGATCCCTGCAGTCAGTGATCTAGGAGACAGGGAGATGTCACTCTCCAGTTCCAGGTGATGGGATAGGAGTGGCAGGTCATAATTACCTCTGCAAGCATAAGAGATTTTTAAAATTGCAGGTACATACCAGCTTCAAGACTTCAGGAAATTGCTGAAGCTGTGAAGGGTTGGGCAAGGAGCTGGGCTGTGACTCAGCTGCCAGCAAGCAGGGAGCCTCTCCCTTCAGCAGAACTGGCAGCCTGCCCTCTCTTAATGGCAGGTTAGAATTGTTTCTTTTGTTTTTCTGTCTTGACAGAGGATCTTAGCACCTTTTAGTGCAAGCGAGCTGAGATTTGTGATGCAGAACTGCAGGAACAGTGCATGGGTATGCCATGTCTCCCTGCTCCCCCAAGAAGCATGGGAGATGTGCCATAAGGCTGGGATTTCCCTGTCATGACTGACATATCCACTGCAGCTTCTTGGTGGACACTGGTGGCCCAATGGGTGACCCAGGTTCTACCCTGTCTCCCTGTCCTTCCTGCACCCACAGCTGTGCTGACAGTGCTCCACTTCCAGTGACAAGCAGGATGTGGGCAGTATACAGGTGCTGGAGCACATACACTGGAGTCATTCACCCTCTCTCCTGAGCAAATGCAGGATATTTGTTTTCTGTCCTCTTGAACAATGAGGGTTTGGTTGTCAGAGCTTCTCATACAGGCCTTCAGTTACTTTCTCTCTTACTTCCGTTAAGAGTATGAATGACTTGCCAGTGATTTTGTAGTGCTCTTTAAATCAAGGAAAGCAATTTTATGAATAATGGAAATGAGAGGAGAAAGTTGCTTTATTTAAGGTACTTGGATACATACAGCATTTGATTTTTTTCCCCACCACTAAATTTAGAAAAAAGTGGTTTTTTTCTGTGTGAGAAGATTCTGTGTATTTTCTCAGTTTCCAGTGGTTTATGTTTACAGGGTAAGACTGAAAATCACTTGGCTGAACTTTTGAAGAGTATATCATTCCATTTATATCCTGTACATGGTTAAATCCCTGGGAGCAGGACTTCACACTGACTTCAAGAACTGCCCTGGAGTTTGGTTTAATCATAGAATCATAGAATGGTTTGGGTTGGAAGGAACCTTAAAGACCATCTCGTTCCTGAGATGGGCAAGGACACCTCCCACTGGACCAGGTTGCTCAAAGCCCCATCCAACCTGGCCTTGAGCACTGTCGGAGTTGGGGCATCCACAACTCTGGGCAATGTGTTCCAGTGCCTCATCACCCTCACATTTCTTCCTAATGTTGAGTCTAAACCTACTCTGCTCTGTGGGAATACTTATCCTTGCACAGAAAGACCAAATAAAATTATAACATTAAAAAGTGAGTTTTAATACGTGTAGATGCTTCATTAAGGACAATGGCCATTGATATTCAGAAAACAGACACGGTCACAGACTAACTCATCTTATTTTCAAGAGAAAAAAGATGAAGTATAGATAGGAAAAGATTAATATCACACATATATGTTTTTTGTAAAAATGTGTGTGCTCCTTCCTACTCCTTTATTTTTGTATTCTCACAGCTTTTGTAGTAGAGAGTTAATTTTGATTTTAGCATTTACAAAAGGAATTCCAGCAAGAGTGTTATGATCTTATGCAACTAGATAGTAGCATTTAATGAACAGCTTCACTGGTGCCTGCATGGTGAAAAATAGCATCTGTTCAGGAAGCCCTGCAAGCTCAGTTCCCAGATAAAGTCATGTTTCTAAGTTCTAGTCTAAGGTGTTTGGTCTGTTCTAGTAGGGTCCAGCCCTGAGGGTGTTTTGTGTCTGCTTGGCTGAGCTCCCCCTCTGCCCCCCAGCCAGGGGGCAGCTCTGGTGCAGCAGTCCTGGGTCAGTGCTGTCCCTGGAACCAGGCTCATGTATTCCCTGGGAGA